ACATGTTTTTGGTGTCATTGTAAAAAAAGAGCGTAACGTGAAGTTGTGCAGGAAACTTTCTTTTTAGGTAAATAATTAGAGAGTGAGGCCCTGAGGCCCTTTAAAGTTTCGTATTTCTCCATAAGAATAACATGGGAAACAAACATTGTTTTGAAACTCCAGCTGTTGTCAGAAATTAAATATTAATAATTGGTCTCCATGGAAGCATGAGAAAATTCACAATGTTTACAATTGCTTTGACATTTAAATGTAAACAACCAGAACTGTCAAATACCTATTTTACAATTACAGACAGCTGATCCAGAAAAATAAAATAACTATGTGGTAGGTTTATTTAATCTTAAACTTTATGATAGAGTATCTATATAAATAAAATTAGAGTTTTGTCTGTACATTACTCAGAATCATAAAATTTTAGGTTATTTTTACGTGTTATACATTAGAGAAACCGAAACGAGTCTCATCTAAATTTCTGTCTGTCTTCCAGTCTGTTACGACCCAAGAGCCATTTTACGCGGCCTACTCCTGAAAAACGAGAGTACCTATCAAGTTCCAAATCATTTTAATGCATTCACTGGATTGGCGAGATTGTCTTTAGCCATTAAAATATGGCGTCACCACTTTGTAAATAAAATGACAGACGTTTAAAAACCCAATTTTGTGCGATTTTTGTAAAGTTTTCTCCCAATGTTTAGCACATATTCTTCTATGAAATAACGAACAGCTGTTCAAATCAAGATTATTTCTTCTAGCTGTCACTGATATGTTTACATTGAATGTTGTTTACAAATACCGCAACCATTTCCGATCACGTTTTGAAAGCAAATCCAAACCAATTAAGATTAAAAACGTTTCTCCTTACATAACGGATTTAATTAATCGCAAGTGCAATAATTTGCAGGGTAACAGTAAATGAAAATAGAGATTTTTTGTGCATAAAATTGTTCTTGAGTTTTGATAACCGGGAAATAGACCTTGAATCAGTGTTGTATATTGCTGGGAAACTTACATTTTTTAAATGAGCGTTTTCAGTCAAGACTCGGCACACGACCGACGCGCGTCTACTTGTCCATAGTAAAAATAAAAGTAGGCCTACCGTGTATTTATGTTTTATTCGTTATGTGTATAAGTGTAAAGTTCGTGTATGTGTTTCAAAAACTCCAAGATGCACCTAATGGGGAAGCTCAAGACCTTATATTAGGACTGATGATGGCGATTTAATTTCGCCGAAATGCATCTCCTGTAATAGGATACATTAGGATCGACCGGCGGACACAGGTAATTTAGCCTTTTATTGATTGTCATACCGATCCGGAACAACAACAAACGACATAAAATGAAGTTATGTATAATAAATAGTTTGGCCAGCATATCTGAAAATATGCAAACCAACTACTGTTCTTTATATAAGAAGGTTTCAACTGATACTATAAGATCCCCGTGCGTAGAACGGGTACACAGCTAGTTTATTATAAATCTATTTCAATGATTATGAAACAGATTTTTCCCGTTGCGAAGCAAAATTAAAAGTGAAAAGAAGAACACATGTTAATTGTAAACAGTCAATGTGTAAATAATTATCTATGTTGTATTAAAGATGTGTATAGTTTTGGATGTTGGTTTGTGTTTAATGATATAAGTTATTAATTATAGAATTTTTATTTTAAGGATTTGGCATATGAGTAAGCCTATGATAAATAACACCATTTCAGAGTTCTGCCAGTTTTTGAGTAGAGTTTAAAGTAGCCTACACCTTATTGTCTACAAATTGGCTAAATAACTTAGGTACGGTACTTTATAAAAGTTGACAGCCTTTTTACGTAGACTTAAATTGTACGCCTTTTCCCGTCCATGGGCAGGTTGATTGTTATAAATTAACTCTTTAAACTGGAATAGGATTGTTATGTAAATCGTGAGTATTTCCATTAGTTGACTACTAAAAACCACCTATTTAGTTGACTCTTTTAAAATCATCGGAAATTATGACTGTTATTAGTTTCTAAACAAGTTATTTGTTTATAAATAACTCCTGTACTTCTTTGCAATTGCTCGATTTCGAGCAACATGTACACTAGTAGTTTCTTTAATATTTCAAAAGACTGTATTGATAAGGCACAGTAATATTTTTAAAGTTTATAACAGCTGACTTAGTTTTGCTAATGATTTATTGTGAGTGAAAAAACTGAAGATGAAAGGATTTGTGATTTAATATAAAGAAGAGTTTTATATAAAGATATTTAAATTTAATAATTAGTATTTTTGCAACTTCAAAATTGAAATTTAAAACGTCAATAATAAATTAAAAGATGTGTAATTAAAGGAAATGAAGGTAAATCTGGTAAATCATGTATGTCAAAGTTTTACTGGAAGATTTGGTCAGTTTTTCTCATATCAGCCTACACAAGATTTAAAATTAATCAAAAGCAAAATGGTGGTATCCACTACTTACCAGTTAAAAGTCATAACTTAAACGTTTCTATTAAGGCCATAAAAGTTGAATTTTGTTTCTAAAAGCGTTGGCGGATGTGTAACTATTATATGCAAGAGATAAAGATTAAAATGTTTCTATTTTGTGTCCTCTTCCCGTTACAAAGCACGGGTACAACAGCTAGTATATAATACGTGAAGGTGTTTTCTATGAAACACTACTCCTTCGTTAATAATGGACGGATTTATACAAACGGTGTGTCAAAATTAAGTATTTTTTGTATAGACGCCCCCTTTCACCAATTCCTGTAATAAAAGTCCTCGGGCTTTGCCCCACAGGCCATCAAAATCGCAATGTATTTCTTATGATGACAAGATTTTGTTTACTTAAACAGACAGAATAATATTTGTATAAATTACAGCTGTTCATTAGTAAACACATTATACACACAATAGTGTTCGTTTTCAGAGTGAGTTCATTTGCAGTTTCGATAACTACTGTAGAGTGGAGCGATTGATTACATCTTTGAGTTGACTCTTTTGAGTCATAATCGGGAGTTATGACTGTTATTCGTTTTTAAATAACGCCTGTAATACTTTACAATTGCTCGAATTCGAGCAACAGGTGCTCTAGTATTTATTTAATATGGTGTTTTTATTGACAGAAAGGTTGCAAATTCAACCACTAAAATAATTTTGAATATATCGCAAAATTCCATGGTGGCTTAGTAGCTGTGGTTCCTTCAATAATCATACTATGCAACATGTACAGTAGTGCGCTCTGGTAGCTTGTTGCATTATACAGGCGCTATGAAAATGTCAAGAAATGCACATTGTTAGTAGTAAGAAAAAGTAATAATATTGATTATCAACCATATTACAATGGCTTATAGTATTTTGTTGTAGAAACGTATATACTGTACTTTGTTTTAAATATTACTAATATTTTAACAAAAGGTTATTACAACTATTATAATAGTATACTTTTGTGCTGACTAAAATCCAGAATTGTGCAAGATGCTTCATAGTAAGTTGTCTTCTCTCTCCAGCTTGATTAAAAATTCAACGTACAATGACAAAGAATCAGTAATTGACAGCAGTGCACTTTGTGGGAAGTAAAACTCAGCTACATTTATTTTCATTTTTAGACTGGACTGGCTACATAAACATGACACAGTAACGTAGCCAGGATTTCAAAATGGAGGGTCGACCGACCGGGCCCAGGTAGAAAGGGGGTCCGGGAAAATTGTTGAAAACATAGGCCCTAAAATGGTCTTTTTTTAGCCCTACTGGCATTGAAAATTATCAACGTCAATTAACGTCAATGCAGTATTATTATACAATTCTAATAATGTATAATTTATATTATTATTATATAATTTTACGATTAATTTAACAAAAAAATATTATATTTAGGACCGGAAGGGGGGGTCCAGACCCCCGGACTCGTTTATTCAATAGAATGTATACTACAACGGTAGCCGAATGGTTATAATGCAATTAATGCTCGCCTAACAAACCACAGGTTGCCGTTCGTTAAAAGGTCAGTAGCTTGATGGTTCGAAACTGGACCCAGCTGCCTCTGATCTTTGAACTTCAAATAATGATCCTGGCTAATGCAACAGCTTATCGTAGTCAGTAACAAAGCTACACAGAACATCTCACACTATTCTGCTATTCTACGCTCATCCTTCATTCATGTTAATTGAGTTAAAATACGCTCCCATGTAAAAGAGTCACCATCTCAATTGATAATGGTGACTGTAGAGATGAACTGTAGAGTCAAAGTTAATTTATGGCGGATAAGAATTAACACCAGGCCTAACTGTAAATAACTAAACAACACAACGTTTACATCACTAACCACGGCCACAAGGTGGCCGTGCAGTAACCCTTCAATAAAGAAAGATTTTTCATCGCCTACTTTATGTAATGGAGGAGTCCAGGTAATTCAGTACCTTTTTTAATTAACAGCTAGGTATATATAAGTATTCGAGCGGATTATAGTTAGCTGAATGTTACAGCTTTATTTATTTATCCCAACGGTTTCTTCATTTGATACAGTTTGGTACGACAGCACTACATCTTTACTGTGCTTACAATAATGCTGCAGCTGGTGCTGGGCGCCCATCGTTGTAGTTCTATGGCGCCCACTAATTGATATATTATCACACCCAATGCTTATTTTGTTACAATAATAAGGTTAATCTTCTATTAATTCTGCGTAAAATAATTACTAATTGAGATTTTAACAATCTACAAAGAACAATATCATTGATTATACATTTCCAAAGATATGGGCAATTTATAATCAATGGCAATACTAAACATTTTTAAACGTATTCCTTAATCTTCATATTTGCCTTAGTGTACTGTTTATTTTATACGTATGAAAGTAAATCTAATCAGCACTTAGGACATAATCATAAATGGTTTGTGTTACGACTGACTCTATTTTATATAGTAAATCTGTATTTTTGCTTTGACTTCATTAACGTTTGTTGGCTGCACTGGCAGACCTGGGCCTCGCAGAATCCCATTGGATGTTTGGGGAGTAGAAACGTCGGTTTGATTCGTTGTATCTGTCATTTCATTTCCCAGTTGATCGTGGTTTCGTGGTCAGTTGAATTTTGTAGGCCGGTTACTGACACGCAGTGTAATCAAGTGTTCTGCTAGTGTATGGGAAGTTAAAGTTGGGTGGGTCCAGGTTATATTCCAAGTGTTTCGCCGGTTAAACTACAAAGAGTGCTGATAATTTACTGTAGTTTACTACACAGGATAATAAGTCCTTTTCAAACTGGATTATTGTTGCCATCTGTTGTGTCGGTATGTTAACCTAGATTGCAAATTTCTCTAAACCCATATAGTTTTGCTTCTGGAGGGTATTTTGCTTCTCTTGGACTTCCGTTCTACTTGTAAAAATACTTAAATTAAAATGAAGGACTACTACGAAGATCTTACACTAAGAAACTATTCTTATATATTTAATTTTGAAGAGGAATTTAAGCATTTGGATTCAAGAGTATGGATGATCAAACATTGGACCAAAGGATTCTACTATTGTGCTATTTACATGATTTTAATCTTTGGTGGCCAATACTACATGCAGTCTAGACCCAGATTTCAACTTAGAGGAGTCCTATCGCTGTGGAACACACTTTTAGCCATATTTAGTATAATTGGTGCCTGCAGAACTGCACCTGAATTAATACACGTTCTCAAGAACTATGGAATATACCACTCAATCTGCGTCCCGAGGTAAACTTAATTCATAATTTATTTCTTCCTTAACTCGTTAAGTAAGTTATTGAATTGTATTGCATTACAGAAATTGTATTAGGCCCTACAGATAACTTCAAACATTCACTAAGCCTAAAGCTACCGACATGTTAAAAAACATTCCTTCGTGAGACCAGCATCAAGTAGGCCTATGGTTGACGAAAGTTAAGGATTTTTACTACGAATCAGCGCCAACTATAAGTTAAGTTGATACGTGGTCTGAACTCACTGGACCGATGTCAACTATTGTTGACGCTAACATGCATTAAGTTACTTTATGACTTATGGTACAAATGTATGGTTAATTTTATCGCTAAAGATCAACATACTTAGCCTAAGTTACTAAGTTACATACTAAGTTAATGGATAAAGACAACCAGGCCTACATACTAACTTAGGCTATAAGTAAGCAATGGACCAATGCCATCTAACTTACGTTAACTTATAGAGAACACAACTAACTTAGGCCCTACCTATTTTTTTTTTAAATAGACTAATTAATTTTAGTTACAAGATGAATTTTCTATGCTGGTGCCAAATTTTATGTACGGTAATCTAAATAAATATTATCAAGACACTAATTAAACAGAAAAAAAAAACTAATAGAAAAGATTGGTTTGTGGGTACCTACCTAAGCTAGCCTATGTTAAATTAAGCTTGGTCCAAAATGAAAATATAGCATGCAGGTTAGGGCAGTGACTGGTGTCAACTATTCACACTAATCAGGCTTGCTTAGTTGACAATTAGTAAGTTAGTGACAGTTTTTTTTTTTTTTTTTTTAGAAACGGTAGCCAAAACCAATTTTCTTTGGGATATTTTTCTAGACAACATCAAACTCATACTAAAAGTAGCATGCCATTACAGCTTATAATAGACAACCTGAATATAACTTTAATAGTTAAGATTTAATCTTCACAACAATATCAAACTTACCTTAGTTGTAATCCATTTCCGAACGATCTATTTAAACCATGCAATACACAGGTTAATAAGCAAAATATGAGGTTTGTAATAAGTTATGTTGTTTATTTGAAACGTTTTGTTTTTAATGGCTTAGTAACTTAAACTAGAAACTTACTTTACATTGAATAATAAATAATAGGCCTAATCACTTTAAAACCCATCTAGCCCAATAATAAAAAATACATTTAAAGACGGGATAAACTTTTGAGTTTGCGAACGAGATCAGACCATGGGAACGGGGTTTTACAGGGGTTTTTATGGGGCAATAATTGGTTTTTCTCATTTTTAACCCTCAAAGCACAAAATTTACCGATTTCTCTTACCTTTTTAAAGAGCTCTAAAAACAAATTATTTAGTATGGTACCTCCCTACAAAATTGTTTTTGTATGGTTAGTTGGTAACGGAGAAATGTTTTAATACCGTACCGGAATTTTAAATTTAAAATTCCCATGTTATTCTTAAGGAGAATATTAAAATATGTTGAATGAAAGTCTTGAAAATCTTGAATGATCTCTCGAACCAGCATGATCGCACCGTGGAAATGGGGTTTTACGGGGGACTTAAGGCGTAAAATTGGATTTTCTCATTTTTAACCCTCAAAATACAAAATTTCCCAATTTCTCCAAAGACCTTTTTAAAGAGCTTAAAAAACAAATAATTTAGTAGGCTATATCAAAGTGTTTTTTGTAGCCTACCTACTGTTATTGGTAAAGGAGAACCAACATTTAAAAAATCATAAATTTAAAATTCCCATGTTATTCTTATGTGGAATATTGTAAAATGTTGTAGTTTGCTTGTTTATGGATATATTTTGATCAAACTAGGTAAATGCATTTGTTTTATATTAAGCTATTATTAAGAAATGGGGAATTTTTTGTAATGAGGGTTAAAAATTAGGAAAACTAATTTTCACCCCCTAAAACCCCGTGAGCATGGTCCAATCATGCTTGTTTGCGGACTCATTCGATTAAATGTAGGTTTAAACACATTTGAACCAAATTTTTTTTTGAGTTATGTAGGCCCTATAACTTATAATAGCTAGCCTATTTATATATGAATTTGAACGGAGGATGTTTTGGGACTCTGGGTCATCATAACAAAAAAGTACCAGGTCTTACCATGGAACCTATGGTAATACCGGTAGCTTATTCCCTATATAGGAAATTCGCTAAATAACTTTTAAGCTAGTCTGTTTTTGCCTATTTCAATTGCAACTCCTGTCTTTGACTACAACTAGACATTCATTCCCATGTTCAAGTTGTCACCAGTTTTTAAATTGTAGAGCCACCAGGGGAATTTTAGAGGACTTTTGGTATTTAAAATGTAGGCTAGGCTACATCTTTTTGTGCAGGACTAAATTAATATTTCTTCTATTTAATAAAAAATGACAGGTATGCCTATATTGTTAATTTGTGATACCCTAGCCTATAGCCTATTTGTGAATCAGAAATTGTTCCATATTTTCCCTGAAAGGATAATGTTTCATACAAATTTTCAAACCTCAAAGAGTTGTGTCAGATTCCCTGGAACTTGAGTAAAATCATCAGGAAATGTTCTAAAACTTCAGATTTTCTTGACCTTCTTTATTTTTAGAAGTATTCCTTAAGGATATTAAAAAAAGACTAATTCTAAAATATATACAGTATAAAACATTCACGCAAGATGGTTGCATCTTATTTGTCGAATGTGTTTTGTATGAGCTTAGTGATATGATAAAAGTGTTATCAATTGGAAAGCTTTTGAGAAAAAATCTTTACTGGCCTGCATTATGTTAACAATCGATAAAATTATTTCATTTGGTAGGATGAGGCCCAGAAACATTGGCTAGCCTAATTTCTATTTGTGGGGGGAGGGTAACACTTACTAAAATGTGGAATGTTAGATTTGATTTTAATACGGCTATTAAAATTTTTTTTCTAATTAAAATTTGTAGGTAGGCCTATATGATGCCACTCACATTAACTGTTTCAGTCCAGTTAAAAACGCAATGTCATTGATTTTTAATTGTAATTTTTGACGTGCTGGAAGAGATGTAACAAATTGTAAATAGCCATTTCTTCCCCACGTAGGCCTACCTAAGATTTTAAATTAGTATTTTTTTATTAAAACTTGCTGTTTTTCTTTCTTCTATTATTAATGTTTGTTTTAAAAACGGACACCTGCCTCCTACTCTGCTTTTGTTAAAGTATCACAATGCATTAGATTTTCTATTCATTTTACTTTTCCCTATGGTCAAGTCGTAGAAGTCGTCATTAGGATCAGGTAGGTTAATCATTATTTCCATATCTAGTCTAAAAATGGTTTATACTCCCCATTTAATAAATCATTTTGGTAATTAGTTCTAACATTTTTATTTATAACATTACAATGGTGAAACAACCATTTCACCCTAACACCAGTGACCATATGTACTACCATCCTCTCTGGATTTAGTACCGTAATTAAAATACTTATCCTTGTGTTACAGTTTCATCGAACATGACCGAGTCGCTGGTTGCTGGTCGTTCCTCTTCGTTCTCTCCAAGCTTCCTGAACTGGGAGACACGATGTTCATTGTTCTACGGAAGCAACCTCTCATCTTCCTCCACTGGTATCATCACATTACGGTTCTTCTCTACTCCTGGTTCTCTTATACAGAATACACTTCCTCCGCCCGCTGGTACATCGTGATGAACTACTGCGTACACTCCATCATGTACTCCTACTATGCTCTGCGCTCCATGGGATATCGTCCTTGGAAGAACATCGCTATGTTGATCACCTCTTGTCAACTCACCCAGATGATCGTCGGTTGTGCTGTCAATATTTGGGCTGCTCAATATCTTCAGGAAGGCAAACAAGACTGCCACGTATCTTGGTTCAACATCAAGTTGTCACTTCTGATGTACTTCAGCTACTTTGTTCTGTTTGCAAGATTCTTCTACAAAGCGTACCTCAACCCGAGTGCTGGTAAACGCAAGGCACAGATGAGTGACATCCCTGGCAAATACACCAGCAACGCCAGCAATGCTAAGGTCAAGGCTCAGTAAGTACACTGCGAATAACTGGATTGAATTGGTGAAAGAAAGAAATACTTTCGACTTTTAGTTGTGATCTCTTATAGAAACGACTGTCTTGTGTGGTTGTTCAGTTAGTTACCGGTACTTTTCTTAGAGATAAATGAATTTTATGATGAATTCACTTCTCTCTCTCTCTCTTACTCCGGTTAAATTAAACCAACGGTTTTAGTCTCCGCTGTAAAATTATGCTAAAATTTTTATCACGAGGTCGAATGTTTTTCTTTCTTTCCCAATCTCATCCGTTTCTGAAGTGCACAAAGTATAATGGACTGAAGTTATGATAGAGAGTTTTTCTTCAGAGAAATCTTGCAGTAATTTATTTTATACATGCTAGTCATTAACATTCATTATTGTTGTGGATAGAATCAGGTCTTGTTATGCCGATTGTGGACAAAATCGCACAAGTGGCCATCTACATGTTCCTGTTGCATGAATTACTTAAGAAACTAATTTGTATAAAATATTCAGGACATGTACATTTTCAGTTTTAGTTTTATGTAAGCAAGTTAGTTAACCTTTTGAAGAATTTTGTACCAACCCTCTGAAGCTAGTAATGCACTCATCAGAATTTCTGTGATTTAAAATTGTTATTAATTGTAGATTTTGTACATTTTTTGTCTATCAAAAAGTATATAGAAAATCAATTGGTATGTAAAGTAAGTTTGGAAAAGAAATTGATTGTTACCACCACTATTAGTTTTTGTTTAGGCCACTGTTATTGAAGCACTATATAGTCAAAAGACTAACTGTAGGTTTTTTTATGATTTTTTACCTCTTAAGTCTTTTTTTAAGATCAAGTATCATTTAAGTATCAAAACAATGTATCATATTGTACAGCTGGAACAAATTTTGACTTAAGCTAACTCAGGCTGATAGCCTTATAACCTACAAGTGTGTTCAAAATTTCACCATGCCGTCCTAAAGTCAGTTTACTAAATTAATTAAAGTTATGTGATTTTTCTGCAATAGTTAACTTATACCTAACATTTTGTTCATAGTTTGCATATTTTTTACATTTATAATTAAATATATCAGATTATTTTTTGTTTTATTCTTGTTATTCTTACCTATATATATATTGTATGAAAATAATCATTCCTTTCTAATGTTTTTTATACAGTAGTTAGTATTTTTACACCGGTCCATGATTCACAAATATTTTTTTCTTGTGATGGATCGCACGGTCCATGATTCACAAATATTTTTTTCTTGTGATGGATCGCAAAAATTAAAAAAAGTCACATCTTACACTATGTTAAGATTTTTAATGTACACAAGCCTAACATATTACAATAATTAAATTTAAAATAGATCCATGATTTGGACTCAAATCTTCAGTGTTTTAATGCAAATGCAACATTAAAATACTTAACTACAAATAACCTTATGATTTTTTCATGGTGCACATTTTGTGGTACAACATAGGCCTAGTTTCACTGTTTTACTGGTGTGGTTTAGATTAAACATTATTTTTATACTTTTATAATTAAGTGTAGAACATGTTAGAATCCATAAACTGTTTCTTCTTACAATTCAGTTGCATTTACTATAGACTGTAGGCCTACGATTGCTTAGTAATTTCCATGTTCAAAGTACATTTTTGTGAAAATTTATTGATAGCAGAAACATAAAACCAGTTATAGAAGTGTTTACAAAACAATTAGTTACTGCCATACCTGAGCTTTATGCAACTGTAAACACATTCCTGTAAAAATTACTAATATTTTGTATCTTGTTTACCAAACAGTGGTTTATGCACAAATGGTTTATTCAGTCCTGCGTAAAAATGTTGAGAGGTCAAGATGATTTTTTTCCGTAAAATATTTAAAAAATGTGCCAATTACAATAGTAAATGGTAATTAAAATTATTTTGGTATGTATAGTTCATACATATAGGTAGAACTACAATTACAAAATAAATTGTAGAGTATATTTAGCCGTTTGTTATGTTTAGTAGAAGATAATTTTAAATATGATAATTAATATGATAAATATAAAAATGATAATTTCTGGCATTATTTCAACCTCTCTTCAAAATCCCATTTGTCATATAAAGTTTTATATTAAACTTATATAATATTCCTTAGTAACACTTTTGTATCAAGCTCCTATACAGCAAGTAATAATATTGTGATGTAAAAGTTTGTTTGAAAATAAATTTTTCATGTTTTAAATGGGTTTTATTGTCCATGTTATGAAGATACCAAAATAGTCATAAGATACAGGTTTAAAAAAATATATTTAGTTAACTTAAAAAATTCTAATAGTAGATTTTAAAAATCTGTACAATAATGGTTATCAATAGTCAAAGGTGATACGAAGTCTAAAGTCTTTGTGTTTGTCAAATGCTTGATACTGTTAACAGTTGAGGTCATTGACACACTCAAAACAAAACTTGGTATTAATGAAGATCTGATCACAGAAATATAATTTTTAATTTACTTTGGTATTTCAATGATCAGAGTTCCAGGTTCAAATCCTGTCAAACACAAATGACTTTAGCTGTGTCATTGGTGAGAAACTGCTGGAAGTAGAACACACTTATGTATGCTTATGTGTTCTGGTACACCCAGTACTCAATATGCGGCGGAACGGCGTTCCGGTGCCTCTCTTTCGGAAAGATAAAAATATTGGCATCAGGAAACATAAAATTCATAAACAAGTTTGCCTTGGAAATATTTATTTTTCCATACTACTTAAAACAGGTTAAACAATTTTTGAGGGTATAGGAGGGGGGGGGGTCATAAGTTTACAGTTGGCACCTCATTGTTTTACTAATTAATTGAGGACTGGGTACACCTATCTATATCAGTCTTTTGGTTGAGGATAAATTTCTCTAGTAAAACTACCCCCATAAAACTAAAAACTATAGACAAACTAGTCTTCAATTATAAAAATAGAGTTTAAATCATCACAAAAAAGATATCTCAGTGGTTTTTGTTGGGAAATAACTACAGTACAACACTTTTTTGTTATAAATTAATTGAGATAACATGCACAATTCTACTGTAATCTAAAAAAAAACTAGTTGACCAACAATTTCAACTACATACATTATAAACATTGAAAATTCATTATATAATGACACAGTATAGTTCGAACGGAAAGGTTAATTTTTCTTTTACTACAACTGCATTAAAATGGTAACATTGCCATACCTGTAAACGGTACGCAAAATAGCTAATTGCTGCTCTAGAGCGGGAATGGATCATTGCCGCTCGCTTGTCAGCTGATTTCACTGTTGGCGTTTCTACACCAACCACAGCCGCAGATCAGATTCATTAGTTTACAACCGGTAAGCTAAATAACATAACCTTAAAAAGCAAACATAACCTAAATGTCATTTTATAAGAGTTAATCTGTGTGTTATTATAAGTTAATTATGGTGGTAGGAAAAATCTTGTGTGTATTACGAGAACAAACAGTCGTTGCCGCTCTCGAAATAGCCGCACTCAGGTAAAGCTCCGTGCGTCCATCTACAGTTTTCGAGCGGAAATTACGTACTTTGCACTACTTAATTAGCTACTATATTTCGCTTCGTGGTCTAAGTTACTCGTATCCTTCCTTACAAGGCGACAACAGCCAGTAATTTAACCTTTTATTGTGAAATAATAGGTCCGGAAACACCACAACAAGATAAGTATAATTTGTGGATGAAAAACTAAATTATATCAAATGACCAGACAAGACTAGTTATTGTGCTCATTGCCTCATTGTGCTCATTTAACCTGACCTTGACGCTTTTTGGCTGGAAATGTTCTACCTGCACATCCGGCGATTATAATGCTTATCACTCCGGTCTTATCAGTGTTGAACGTCACAACATAATGCCGGGACAATGCACAATGATGGATTGTAAATCCACTAGTAATTTATTTAATGTGATAAAACACGGGATGCGGTGTTGTTAGCACTGAAACAGCTTCCCGAAGTGTTTTAAACAGAGTAAATGTTAGTTGGAAAACGTTTTTGTTTTTGTAAAGAAGTTGTGAAATGCATCAGGGGTAGTCGCATCTCAAAAAGTATTTGAATTATAAGAGAATATTAGTAAGAGTAAGTCGGACTGAATAAGAGAAGACATTACATTAAACTAAATTTTCAATATGGTCTCAATTATTTTCTTCTTTTGGTGTTTTTCTAAGACATTGGAATTTTTTTAGTTTTTTCATTGGTTCTTACTAGGCCTACTACCCAACGGTCCGCTGTCTGAACAACAAAACTAGTTTTAACTCAACATTGGGTCGTAAAAGATTTGTCATTTGCTTGTATACTGGAGTGATTTGAAAATGTAATTGACGCGCATTTTCCACGGTTGCATCATTTTCTGAACATGGTTTATTAGTAATGGGTCTTAGACAGGTATCTAGCTTAGTGAATGCGGGGTGAGTGTAGAATACAGGTAGAAGAATAATCTTTAAAATCATGTATTTCTTACTTAAGATAGGACTATTAAAATCGACCTATCTATGCCCAGTTTCAAACCGTCTAACCGCTTGACTTTTCTCCAGATGTAATCGGAAACCTTTTTGATTTAGCTTTACAACTATTCAGTTTAGTTGTGCAGCAACGTAATACTTAAATCTCAGACGTAACTTATGTCAATGATCGGAACTAATCCTCAATACGATACCGGCCACGTTTAGTTGACATTGAATGAGTTACGTAGTGTCTACAGTGTAACAGGTACAGTAACAGTCAACAGTGCTTCTGCTTTCTCCATGCACGAAGGACGAGGGCTCGGCATTTCATAATTTCGAATAGAAAGTTCCCCGCAGGTTCTTGTCCTTCCGGTGTGGGATGCTTCTTGGCTGGGCCTGGAGGTAAACAAACACAAATGTTTTTGTTGGGAATTTGTTGCCATTTGCGCCGCAAAATACCCAGTAAAGCCTGTGTCACACTACGCTACTTTACTAGCAGCTAGCGAAATAGCAGCTACTAAGTAGCCAATGTGACATAGGCAGTAGCAGCTACTAAGAGTAGCGCGCTAGTGAAATTTTACTAGCATGGAAAGTTGAACATGTCCAACTTTCCGTGCTACTAAACTGCGCTAGTGAGTCACGTGACCAACTAGCAGCTATCAAGTAGCGACTGTCGCCCAGTGTGACAGCTTCAATAGCAGACTAGCGGCTACTTGCACCACGTGCTGTCTGCCTGATTTGTTTATTCTCGTTCATTTTGAATAATTTCTGAAGTAATCATGAGTGATCCGAAGTGGGGTGGGGGAGATGTGATTAATTTTTTGAACCTGTATAAAAAATATCCGTGTCTTTGGGACATAACCTCTCTTGAGCTAAACTAGTAGTAGCAGCTAGTGAATAGACGCTACCAAAATAAGTGTGACAGGAAAAGTAGCTGCTATTTCAGTAGCTGCTACTAGGTAGCTGCTAGTAAGTAGCCAAGTGTGACACAGGCTTAAGACATGATATTTTGGTGGTAGATGTATAGCCTTTCCTGTAACTGATCGCAGTTGTGTACTCTGGATGAGGACACAGCTGTAAATGACAATAAAAAGTAACGATAAGTCCATAGTGACTATTCACTACCAAATGCATTTACATTATGTTGTCTTTTTGAGTGGGTTTGTCTGGTAGGGAATCTGAATCTGTTAGTAAATTCGAACTTAGAACTCAGCTATGGACACAATGGATGGGATGAATACATTCTTTGTCAATTGTTTAATTAACCTAACTGTGTTTGTGTCCACCGAAATTTGTTTTGAAATTGTTTATGTTTTTGTTTCCTTAAAGAAAATAGTAATTAAAATGTGCATACTAATATAGCTCAATTAGTCTAGGACTCAAAGAATCAAGACGTTGTTTCAAATTTACAAGCACTGACTTTGAATTATAAGGAATAATCAATGTTTAACTTTAACTTATTAGGCACTTTACCTATCGTTTACGTAGATCTGTTTCATTAATGACGAAAATACACTTACCACTGTCTGTTATAAAAATCTAACTTAAACCCGGTCGTTTAGTGAAATATTAAACTATCGTAGTAAAAACGACTCATACAAAATTCTTGCTAATGATAAACATGAAAAACTTGTGGCCTTAATCTAGCATATCTAACTTAGAATACGTCTTATGATAATATTTTTAATTAAGATAGGTTATTACACGATTAATTAAAAAAAATAATACCAATGACAAATACTTTACACAAGTAATCAAAATGATACCGGATGACAGGCGATCAATGGCATGTGATACTCGATAAACATTTAATAATAAACGGTCCACAACACAAATAACAAATTGTAAACTTTTTCAGACGGTCATTTCAAATACCAAGATTTTCTATTCGATTCACCTAATCCACCAAGTGATTAGTGGCAGGTCAGTTGAGTGTTTTGACGTGACAGTCGTCCACTCGACCCTGACCTCCTCAGGAATTTGCCAATGAGTCGGACATTAGCACACAGTGTCCGCGTTTGTCACCATTTTGTAACGTGATTGTAGTACAATTTATACGACCTGGTTGCATCTATCTGTCTGTTGAACTAGATCGTTGTAACCTACTGTAGTTGGTCAGGGCCGATTGTTTTGTCTTGGGGCTTTGTGTTTCATAGCTTGGTTGGCAAGATTGGTTGAACCTGGGGTTATATATACTTGATATAAGATGGATAGGTAATTGTACATAGTGATAATTGCTAGCAATAGATCCATGAGGATTACGGTGAAATGTGTAGGTTTATAAAATCATTCGCTAAATACTCCTGAAGATACTGTTTAGTTAGATTTATTCTAATGACTTAACAACAACAAAATACATACAAAATAAATAACACTACAAGATTCTTAGTCAAAATACGAAAATAATAACCCAGTACGACCCCGTGGGAAATAATGACATTCACAAGTTTATTTAACATTAGATCAAATCAAATAAATAAAAACACCTTTTATTATAATTCAAAATAATGTTTCTTAGGTAGGAGAATATTTTTAGCATCGTAATAAATTGTAAGTGTAATTAATTATAAAGCAATTTTTTCATGTATGTGAAATGTGTTTATGTGAAGAGTGTGTAATAATATTTTAGTGGAGATACTTTGTTCAAAACATTTAGGTGGGTTTAGGGAAATAAATATACCCCCTCCACTTGATCCTATACCATTAAAGCATTAGCTCAACAGCTGAGGTTTGCCAAAAAGTCAATTAGCTGCAAC